CGGGGCATTATAATTCCGTTAATCTCCTAAAAAGCCGTTATTTACTCTTGTCACGCAAAGGGCGACTGCGATGTACGCTACCATGATGTTGTCCGTTGAAATTTTCCCGAGGTGTCCAGTTCGTTACTTATCATCCTCTTAAGTAATACCCTGTTGTATTACATATTTTGTTTTTGAAACGCAATGCAATAACGATGCAAAGAGTCTCTTCCTTTTTGAAGGCCTCTGTAATTTTTTTTAGTTCAGGAGGGATGATAATAAAACGCAGAATGGTTAGCAGGTATATTCCTTTTCAATTCCACTTTACTCGTCGTTTTCAAAGGAACCTTTCAATTAATCTAAACAAGGAAATGGTGAGTAGTTTCAGTAATGCAAGCCAGCCTGTAAAAAAAATTGAAGACGCTTTTCGCAGATTAACTTGTAAATGTAAGGCATTTTTCAGATCATGGGATCATGGAGTAATAACGTGCGTATATAGTCGCTTTGCTCTTCTAACATCACCAAAAGATACAAAATAAGCTGCACGTCCTATGGTCGGCAACTAGGTCACATCCCAACACCGGGAGCTACGTTCCCTTCTCTTGGCAAGAAGTGGGTGGGTTCTCCTGCTAACCAGTACAAAGAAGATGTAGGAGACGGTTTATCATCTTTATCCGAGAACACTTGGACGTCTAACCATTTGCAGATGCCACAGAAAAGGCAGCAAATTTTCCTCAGTTATTTTAAGATTCTGAGAATTAAATTTCACAAATTTAATCATTTTGCCAAGAGTCCCCACTCTGAACACTTGACCGCGCAAGTTTCCAAAACTATCAGTCTTTCTCTAGTAATAAGAATATCTTCTTTATCTTCTTTAATGTACCTTCTGGGGATTGGTATACCATCGTCCTCTAGGTCTTCCTCATCGAACTCTCCGTCGTTTGCTTTCATGTCGTATCCTCTGAAATATGAAGGAAAAAAAAATGAAACCATTTCCACTGCTGCACTTCAGAATTGCCCATAAGTTTAAAGCATAATCCACGTTGAGAAAAATAATTCATATTTGAATTTAACTTTCTATTCCAACTTTTTAATGAAATCTTTCATAAATTTCAATTCCCCCACGCTGGCTCAGTAAATTGTCTTCGGAGAAATTGCCAATTCCCACTGCAGTCTGGTTATTGTTCTTCTTTCTGGGAAAAGAGGAGAAACTCCGTACATTTGGCACCTTTATAAAGTCCATTTTCTTTAATCTAGTCATCATTTGTAGTTAGTTTTCTTTATCCAACTTACTCTCGAAGTTTTTCTGGTTCAAATTCATCTGCTATCTCGTTCAACTCATTTCAGTTACTGCAAATGAAAAACCAACAGTGAGTACAAAGCCAAACAGAGCTAAAATAACAGATGTCTTCATTTTGTCCTCTCTGTTAGTACTTGAGTTCTCAACTTTAAGTAGCCTCAAAGCTCACTGCTTTTATGCATCTCATTCTATATGATATTAAAATCTATTTCGTCCCGATCTTCTTTTAACTCGATATTTGATCATGGAATGTAAACCCTCGAGAATCTGTAAAAAATAGACTAAAGAGTACACTTGAAAGTCTTAAAGATATTGCGTACGTCTTATTAATTTTACTAGGTAAGCCTTCGTGTAATGATATTATCAGATAAACCTTATAGTTTGTTAATATTGCTGTTGAAATTCCAAATTATTTCCATAGCTTTTTTCTTAGGGTATGATTTTTTTTATTTTTGCAGATAGTTGCATTTATACTTCCAATTCATTTCATTAAAAAAGATATAAATTACACATACCATGCTGATATTAAGGGCCTTGAAGAATTTCTACTAAACCCTGAAAAATCTTCGAAATAAAAAAACATTTATGGATACTCTTGTTACCCTTTCAGATAAACAATCTCAATAGGTCCTTTTAAATGGTCTTCCGTTCAATTTGTAATGATGTCATCAGATAAATCACGCAGTTGGATAATAGTAACTCGTTTATAAGTAGTACTAGCATTTATTTATACACGATTAAAAATTACAGCAGTGCTGATGTGATCGTGATTTGAATAAAAATATGAAAATTTTATATAAAAAGTTATTAAAGAAAGGGATCGCCATACATTTTCAATACTGATTAGATAAATATTAAAACTATTTACAATGATCCAAAAACAACTAAGTTATTCGTATTTACATTTAAATCAGAAATCTAAATGATTTGCACGAAATAAGTTTCAGTTTGTTTTTAAAACAGTTAACTTTGGATAGCTCTCTTGTTCTGCGCTCGAGCCAAGGGGTTCGGAGCTTATCCCAACTTTTTTAGCATGAAGCGATTAAGAATATTACTACTTCCCCCCTGGATGGGATCCTATTCCATATCAAGGTTCGATTCCTCGTGGGGAACTCAGAATTTTCTCTTTGTCTCACGCTCGTAACAAGACAAAAAGCATCTTAATTCTCTAATTATTGATTGGTGTCAAGCAGAATTGTGATTGAGTTCCATTTTCCAAGGTATTACCTCAGAGATCAGCTTCCAGCGTAAATTGTATTACCAAAATACTTCTAAAAAGTATTTCCGGATAGTGACCGAAGCATTACATAAGGAGATTTATGGGTCAACAGTAGGAAGTTCTAACTGTTTCCATAACTTTTTTTTTTAAGTTTAATTAAAATTTACCATAAAGATAGCAACATTTACTTCAATTTCATTTCTCCAATGAGTTAAAATGATTTTGAAACCCATACGTTTTCATTCATTCATCCATTCACCTTTGATACCTGTTATCTGTCTTTAACTATAGTAAGCGGTACATGAAAGATCGAACAAATTTATGTTGTCAACACCAGTTGTACTACAAAAACATTAAATTCATACTTGGTTGATGGAGCGTAAAATACTTTGAAATAGGAAATATGTATTGTTTTCTTGAGTAAGCAATATCTATTTTATTCAGATCCCACCCGATATCTGATCACGGAATATGGACCCTTGAAAATCTATAAAGACAAAAAAAGATGTTTGATTTTCCGTCTTGTAATGTCGTTATCCATTATAGCTTTTCCTTAAGGTTTGATTTTTTTATCATTATTAATTTACAGATGGAAACACTTATACATCACTTTCATTTCATTTCAAAAACAATTTGAAAAACACATACCATACCCATATCAGTAGTTTTAAAGACCACGATTGATATTAAGAAATATTATATTTTTCTGTCGGTGTCATTAACACCCACTCGCTGAAGGAGTAGGTCGCTTCAGGAGCCCGATAGGAATTGTAATTTCCCCCACTAAAACGTACACATGAAATTCAAGCGGTAAACCTAACCTTTCCCAGAATTTTTTTTTGTAATAAATTCTATACATTCGACTTCAGAGGCCTTGCGCTCATCTGTGAGGCGTGCTTGAATAAAGTATCGTTGCGGTAAGTGTTTTTGTTGTTGTTGTTTGATGCACTGTGCGAGCGAAAGTTTCACCATGAACTAATGAAAGAAGAGGCAGCGACATCAATTTTAATTCCTGTTTCTATGCCAAAACTATGGGGATATTTACCAACTCATCAACCCAAAATGAGAAAACAGTTGACTTGATTTTTATTTTTCCAATGTCTACAATAAAGTATTGTTGTGGTAGGTGTTCGTTCTGTTGTTGAACGCATCCAATTCACTGTGCGCGCAAAAGTGTTATAAAAAATGTCCAACCATGAAGTGTTCATAAGTGAAAGGACCATCTAGTTTTATTCGGAAAGAAATGTGCTTCCTACTCGCATCCAAATATTGTATGAAAAATGTAGAAGATTGTCATAATTTACAATTTAGATTCATTTAACACTTAAATAGGGTGTCTCCGATGTCTCCCACGCCAATTCCAATTCTGTGCCAAAACTGTAGGGATCAAACCGGTAATGAGGAGATATTTGAGTCTTTTTTACTGTTCTCATTTCCGCAGCATCAATGGGGACACTCTTTTGCATACTTTCTTTTCTAAATCTTACCACTAAAAAGTTGATACAGCTGATTCAAGCAGGGCACACGAGCCCTTGCATGAGTTACCTTCATGTTTTCACAACCTAAATAGTGTTGTGGGTGAGTATCTTCTTTTATTTCTTCTAGTTCTTTCTGCATATTCCAAAGGCTACATCGTCGATACTTATATAGAGAAAATAGCATGGCTTCGTGGCGTGTGCACATAAATTTTTATCTTCTAGTGTTAATGATGTAACTCACATATCTGCCTTCATGAGGAATCTTATTTTTATTCTCGCGGAAGTCCAGACGAAAGAAAAACCCTCGAATAGAAACAGGACACAACCAGAAAAGCAAAATCATAACGAGAAAAAAAAATTCACCAAAAATAAAATTCACCAAAAAAAATAAACTTATCAAAGTCACGAGAAAAACAAACAAAACATAGCCAGGTATTTCTGAACTTGATTTATTTCTGTTCCACATTATATTTTATCAGCAGGTGGGGAGTTTTACTTTCTAGAAGTATTACAATATTCCGAAACGTAAAAACTGTCCTATTAGTTTTTCCAAGTTCTCCACTCATGCATTTGCGAGGTTGGCATTCATCAAGACCTGACAGGGAAGAGAAAAGTCAAACATAAGTACTAATGAGGGTCACTCTTAATCCTTTACACCTTAACATCAGTATGTACATTCTCCATACTGTTCTCTATAAAATTCCTAAGCGGCTAAAAAGGGGAATTTGTTTAACAATCAACAACTTCTTTGGTTGGTGATCGTTTCCTTTATTCTCGTGACCTTAAAGTGTGATTAAGGAAGGATATTTTAAGGAGAATTTAGATGCTAGTCACTCTTCGGGGTGGTCAAAAGTCATTTTAGTGCAGCAAACAGCTATCGATATGATGAAAGTTCGAGCCCCTCCAAAGCCTTTAAGCTATTTTTTGTGGCTATTGCCTCCTTCAGGAAGCCGAGTTATATATGTCGTCGAGATGAGTGAGTGAATAAGCTGCAAGTCCCATTTCTCATTTCTACTTACCTTCACAGAAATAGTCTTCCTTGGCCGCCTTAGCCGCGGAAACGACGAAATATACGACGACCACGACGAATTGTACGACGAATTTTTCGACGAACAGAAGGAACACGACGTCTGATCTTACGTCCTATTTTGCGTCCAATACGTCTAAAGCGAATAAAGGGGTCAGCTGACTTTTCCATTGCTGTTACGTCACCTTCGTCACTAACTTCGTCTCTATCATCGTCATTATCGAATGCTCTTTCGTCAAACTCCTCGTCTTCGGCCGCCACTTCGCTTTTACTGAGTGACAGAAAAAAGATTACAAAAGATAAACTTGAACGAATTGGTTATTTATTAGAGCTGTTTTAAATGGGGGCCTATATAACTGATCAACATCGAGGTCACAGCACAACACCAGGAGCTACGTCCCCTACTCTGGCGGGAAGTGCGTGGATTCTCCTGGGTTCCCCTGCTAACCAGTACAGAGGAAATGCAGGAGACGGTTTATCATCCTTTTCCGAGGAGACTAGAACATCTAACCATTTGCAAGTGTTACAGTTAAGGCAACAAATTCTCCACAATTTCTTTAAGACCCTGACTTCATTTTTTGCTGAGACTTGTCACTCAGATCATTTGACCGCGCAGGTTTCCAAAACTATCAAGAATGATTTCATCTTCCGCAACGTACCTTCTGGGGATTGCCATATCATTGTCCTCTAGATCCTCTTCATCGAACTCTCCATCATTCTCTTTCATGTCGTATTCACTGAAATATGAAGAAAAAATAATGAAACCATTTCCAATGCAGCACTTCAGAATTGCCATAAGGCTAAAGCATAATCCACTTTCAGAAAAATAATTCATTCATGAACTTAACTTTGAAACGAAATCGTCAATAAATTTCTGTTCCCTTCCCCCCTTCCGCTGGCTCAATGAATTGTCTTCGGAGGAATTGCCAGTTCCCACCATGATCTAATCTCTATTCTTCTTTGGAACAGGAGAAACTCGGTAGAAGTGGCATCTTTATTTCAGTTTATTTTGTAACTACAGTTATCATTTCCAGTTATTTTTGTGATGCAACCTACCCTCGAAGTTTCTCTGCTTCAAATTCATCTGCTATCTCGGCCAACTCATTTTCAGTTAGTGCGACTGAAAAGCCGACAGCGAGTACAAAGCCAAACAGAGCCAAAATAACGGATGTCTTCATTTTGTCCTCTCCGTCGGAACTTGAGTCCTCAACTGTTGGTAGCCCCAAAGCTCACTGCTTTTATGCTTCCCATTCTGGGTGATATTAAAATCTGTTTCGTTCCGATCCACATTTAACTCGATATCTGATCATGGAGTGTAAATCCTCGAGAATCTGTAAAAATAGACTGAAGAACGCACTTGTAGGTCTTAAAGATATTAATCCGTCGATTAAGGATTTTATCAGATACGCCATATAGTTTGAAAGTATTTGCGATGGTATGGTTCTGGAGAAAACGCATATCAAGATAGAAAAAAACATCCATTCTGCGTTTATTTTCTTTTATTCATCTATTTATCAGAGATACCTGTTTTCTGTATATAGCGAGAATTGGCAGGCCACGTAAGATTGAGCAAGTTTGTTTTGTAATCACTGTTGGAACAACAACAATTTAAACTTCTAGTTAGGGGATGGAGTATAAATTAATTTAAAATAGGAAATACGTATTGTTTTCTCGATTATGCAATGCTTTATTTTATTCATAACCCCATATCACCCGATATCTGTTCATGGAATGTAGACCCTTGAAAATCTGTAAAAAATAGATTGAAGAATTCCTTATTTACCCTAGAGGTAAAAAAAAGTATGGAATGCCCTAAGTGTTCGTTTTTCCTAGAGTTTGCTTGTAATTACTCGTGTAAATCTCGTTATTTTTTCTTTTCTTTCTTTCTTTATTTTCCATAGCATCTCCTTAAGGTTTAAGCTTCTTTTATTTTACAGATTGAAAAACTTTAACTTGAATTTCATTTCATTAAAAAAGATATGATTGACACATACTTTGCCTATATCAGTGACTTTCAAGAATGTAAACCCTCGAAAATCTATAAAAGTTGATGAAAGAATGCACTTGTTACCCCTAAATATAAAAATCTCAATATATCATCTTGAGAGTTCTTCCTTCTTGTCATGATGCATGTTATTAAACAAACTTGACATTATTCCATAGGAATTCTCTAAGATTTGAGTGTTTTTCTTATTTTGTAGATTTTACTACAATTTCAGTTCATTGTAAACACACTCATGGCCAAATAAATGGCTTCAAAGACCACAATTGACATCAAGAAAGATGACAAGACGAAAAAACATCTCAATTTTCTAATTGTTGATTGGTGGCGAGAGGAATTGCGATTGAGTTCCATTTTCTAAAGTGGTGCCTCAGAGATCAGCTTCCAACGTAAATTGTATCTGTCAAAATATTTCAAAAAGTATTTCTGCATGGAGACCGCAGCAGTTACATAAGTACATTTATGGGTCAACAGTAGCAATTTCTAATTATTTCCATTGGTTTTTCGTGAGGTTTAAGTACAATTTACTTTAAAGATAGCAACATTTACTTCAATTTGATTTCTCTGATAAGTTAGAATGATGTGGAAACCCATTTGTTTTCTTTCATTCATCTATTCAACTTTGATACCTGTTTTCTGTTTGTAGCGAAAGTAGGCGGTTCATGAAAGATTGAGCAAATATATTTTGACAACACCAGTTGTACCACAACAACATTAAATTCACACTCGGTTGATGGAGCATAAAACACTTTGAATAGGAAATATGTATTGTTTTCTCGAGTATGCAATGTATATTTTATTCAAATTCCCATATCACCCGATATCTGATCACGGAATGAAGGCTCTCGAAAATCTATTTAAAAAAAAAGGAAATGCATGATTTTCCGTCTCGTAAAATAAAACATCTAGTTTGATAATAGTTATTCCTTTGAATGCCTTATGATTTCAATTAAAGCTTTTCCTCAAGGTTTAATTTTTTTTATCATTATTAATTAACAGACAGAAACACTTATACAACAATTTCATTTCAATAAAAACCATTTCAAAAACACATACCATGCCCATAGTAGTAGTTTTAAAGACCACGATTGATATTAAGTAATATTATATTTTTCTGTCGGAGTCATTAACATACACCCATTCACTGAAGGAGCAGTTCGCCTCAGGAGCCTGATGGGAATTATAATTTCCCCCACAATAACGTACACATGAAATTCAAGCAGTTAACCTGACCTCTCCCATTTGTTTTCTAACTATCTGCTGTACATTCGACTTCAGAGGCGTGCTATAATAAAAAAGTATCGTTGCGTAAGTGTTGTTGTTGTTGTTGTTGTTGTTGGACGCAAGACACTGTACGAGCGAAAGTATCACGATAATATGTCGAACCATGAACTATTCACAGGCCAAAGAGGCAGCGATATTAATTTCCATTACTGGTCCTATGCCAAAACTATGGGGATATTTACAAACTGATTAACCAAAAAATGAGAAAATATTTGACGTGATTTTCATTCTTCTAATAATAGATTACTGTTGTGGTAATTGTTCGTTTTGTTGTTGTTGTTGTTGCTGTGCAAAAGTTTCATGATCATGATAATTTCCAACCATGAAGTGTTCAAAAGTAAAAGAAGCAGCTAAATTTACTTGGACAGAAATGTGCATCCTGCTCATATCCAAATATTGTTTGAAAAATGTAGAAGTTTCTGATATATTTACCACTCTAATAGGTTTTTTTTGGCCAAAACCGATGTCTCCCTCGCCAATTCCATTACTATGCCAAAATTATAGTGATCAACCCGGTAACGAGGAATATTTGAATTATTTTTTACTGTTCTCATGTCCACAGCATCAATGAGATAAACAGTCGAGTTCTTTCCTTTTGTGATTTATGGCTTTTAGCTACTAGCACATTACTTTTCTTTTGTGATGAGGAATTACAATCCTGTTAGTCCCTCAAAAAGTCGATATTTACTCCTGTAACGCAAAGCACGACAGCAAAGAAGATTACCATAATGTTGTCCTACGAAATTTTCTTCTGATGTTCAGTTTATCATTTATCATCTGCTGAAGTAATACACTGCTGTATTTCATTTTCTATTTATGAAAAAGCAATGCAACAACGATACAAAGATTCTCTTCTTTTTCAGGTCCATTGTAATTTTAGTTCGGGAAGGAATGATATTAAAGCGAAGAATATTTAGCAGGTATATTCCTTTTCAATTTCACTTTACTTGTTTTCAAAGGAACCTTTGCCATTAATTCAAACAAGGAAAACCATTTACAATGATCCAAAAACAGCTAAGTTATACATATTTACATTTAAATCAGAAATCCAGATGATTTGCACAAAATAACTTTCAGTTTGTTTTTAAAATTGTTTACCTTCGATAGCTCTCTTGTTCTGTGTTCGAGCCAGTGGGCTTGGAGCTTATCCCAGCTTCCTTAGCATGAAGCGACTAAGAGTATTACTACTCCCCACTGGATGGGATGCTATTCCATATCAAGGTACCCCCCCCTCCCCCACAGCATTTCATCAGGCTTCCCTGACAATCCGCCGTTACACATTTATACTCCAAAGTAGAGAGACACTCTATGAATAAAGTGACTTACCCAAGAACACAACACATTGATCCATATCCAAAGAGTCCCAAACAATTATTGATTTGTAAATAGAATATTTAGTTATACCAGCAGTATGATGGAGGCGTGTCTTCTGTACTTCGTAATAGACCCTACTCACCGTAGAGTCTCAGAAGCTCAGTGGTAGAGCATCGGAGCACGAAATCCGAAGGTCTGAGGTTCGATTCCTCATGAGGAACTCAGAACTTTTTCTTTGTCCCACGCTAGTGACAGGACAAAAAAATCTTAATTCTCTGATTATTATTGGTGTCAAGCAATTGATTGAGTACTATTTTCTAAAGTATTTTTAAAAGTATTTCTGGATAGAAACCGGAGCAGTTACATAAGTACATTTATGAGTCAACAGTAGCAATTTCCAATTATTTTCATGGGTTTTTCTTGAGGTTTAAGTGCAATTTAATCTACAGATAGCAACATTTACTTCAATTTAATTTAATCTGACAATTCAAAATGATTTTGAAACCCATTTGTTTTCTTTCATTCATCTATTCACCTTTAATACCTGTTTTCTATTTGTAATTAAAGTAAGCGGTTCATGAAAGATTGAGTAAATTTATTTTGTCAACACCAGTTGTACCACTGCAACATTAAATTCACACTTGGTTGATGGAGCGTAAAACACTTTGAAATAGGAAATATGTATTGTTTTCTTGAGTGCGCAATGTCTATTTTATTCAGATTCCCATATCACCCGGTATCTGATCAAGGAATATAGACCCTTGAAAATCTAAAAAAAAAAACATGCATGATTTTCCGTCTTGTAATGACGTTATCAAGTAAATCACCTCGTTTGATAATAATTATTCCGTTGAATTCCAAATTATTTCCATTATAGCTTTTTCTTAAGGTTTGAGTTTCTTATCATTATTTTACAGATAGAAACACTTATACATCAATTTCATTTCATTAAAAACGATTTGAAAAATTCATACCATACCCATATCAATAGTTTTAAAGACCACGATTAATATTGAGAAATATTATATTTTCTGTCGGTATCAATAACATACACCCACTCGCTAAAGGAGTAGTTCGCTTCAGGAGCCAGATAGGAATTTTCATTTCCCGCACTAAAACGTACACATGAAATTCAAGCAGTTAACCTAACATGCTGTACATCCGACTTCAGAGGCGTGCTATAAGTTTCATGATAGTATGTCGATGCATGAACTAATCACACGTCGAAGAGGCAGCGACATTAATTTCAATTCCTGTTTCTATTCCAAAACTGTAGGGATATTTGCCAACTGATCAACCGAAAATGAGAAAATGTTTGGCGTGATTTTTATTTTTCCAATGCCCACAATAGAGTACTGTTGTGGTAAGTGTTCGTTCTCTTGTTGTTGAACGCATGCAATTCACTGTGCGCGCAAAAGTGTTATGAAAATGTCCAACCATGAGGTGTTCATAAGTGAAAGAAACATCTAATTTTACTCGGAAAGAAATGTGTAAATATTGTGTGAAAAATGTAGAAGAGTCTTAAAATTCACAATTTAGATACATTTAACACTTTAAAAGGTTTATTTTTGGCCAAGCCCGATATGTCCCTCGCCAATTCCATTCCTGTGCCAAAACTATAGGGATCAACCCAGTAATGAGGAAATATTTGAATCTTTTTTACTGTTGTGGGTGAGTATCCTATTTTATTTTCTTCTAGTTCTTTCTGCATATTCCAAAGGCTACATTGTCGTTACTCATTAAGAGAATAGCATGGCTGCGTGGCGTGTGCGCATAAATTCTTATCTTCGAGTGTTAATTATATAATTCATATATCTGCCCTTCACGAGCAACCTCATTTTGCTCATTTTCATACTCTCCTGGAACTCTAGACGAAAGAAAAACTTTCGAATAGAAACAAGACACAGCCAGAAAAGCTAAGTCATGACGAGAAAAAAAAATTGGAAATAAATTACATCAACTTCACCAAAAAGATATAAACTTATCAAGGTATTTCTGAACTTGATTTATTTCTGTTGACGCAAACTTACAGCAAATCACAACATTTTCTTTAATTACTTTTACATTAATTCTTCCTCATTATATTTTGTCAGCAGGGGGGGAGTTTTACTTTCTAGAAGCTTTACAATATTCCGAAACGTAAAAACTGTCCTATTAGTTGTTCCAAGTTCTCCAGTCATGCATGTTTGAGGTTGGTATTCATCAAGACCTGCCAGGGAAGAGAAAAGTCAAACATAAGTACTAATGAGGGTCACTCTTAATCATTTACACCTTAGCGTCAGTATGTACATTCTCCATACAGTTCTCTATAAAATTCATAAGCGGCTAAAAAGGAGAATTTGTTTAACAATCGACAACTTCTTTAGTTGGTGATCGTTTCCTTTATTCTCGCGACCTTAATGTGTGATTAAGGAAGGATATTTTAAGGAGAATTTAGATGCTAGTCACTCTTCGGGTTGGTCAAAAGTTACCTCATTTTAGTGCAGCAAACAGCTATCGATATGATGAAAGTTCGAGCCCCTCCAAAGCCTTTAAGCTATTTTTTGTGGCTACTGCCTCCTTCAGGAAGGCAAGTTATATATGTCGTCGAGATGAGTGAGAGAATGAGCTGCAAGTCCCATTTCTCATTTCTACTTACTTTCACTGAAATGGTCTTCCTTGGCCGCGTTAGCCGCGAAAACGACGAATTATACGACGACCACGACGTATTGCACGACGAATTGTTCGACGAACAGGACGAACACGACGTCTGATCCTACGTCCTATTCTGCGTCCAATACGTCTAAAGCGAATAAAGGGGTCAGCTGACTTTTCCATTGCTGTTACGTCACCTTCGTCACTAACTTCGTCTCTATCATCGTCATTATCGAATGCTCTTTCATCAAACTCCTCGTCTTCGGCCGCCACTTCGCTTTCACTGAGTGACAGAATAAAGATTGCAAAAGATAAACTTGAACGAATTGGTTATTTATTAGAGCTGGCTTAAATAGGGGCCTATATAACCTATTAACATCGAGGTCACAGCACAACACCAGGATCCACGTCCCCTACTCCTGGCGAGAAGTGCGTGGATTCCCCTGGGTTCCCCTGCTAACCAGTACAGAGGAAATGCAGGAGACGGTTTATCATCCTTTTCCGAGGAAACTAGAACTAACCATTTGCAAGTGTTACAGTTAGGGCAACAAATTCCCCACAATTTCTTTAAGACCCTGACTTCATTTTTTTGCTGAGACTCGTCACTCAGATCATTTGACCGCGCAAGTTTCCAAAACTATCAAAAATGATTTTATCTTCCTCAACGTACCTTCTGGGGATTGCCATATCATTGTCCTCAAGATCCTCTTCATCGAACTCTCCATCGTTCTCTTTCATGTCGTATTCACTGAAATATGAAGAAAAAATAATGAAACCATTTCCACTGCAGCACTTTAGAATTTCCAATAAGTCTAATGCATAATCCACTTCGGTAGAAGTGGCATCTTTATTTCAGTCCATTTTGTAACTACAGTTATCATTTCCAGTTATTTTGTGATGCAACCTACCCTCGAAGTTTTTCTGCTTCATATTCATCTGCTGTCTCGGCCAACTCATTTTCAGTTAGTGCGACTGAAAAGCCGACAGCGAGTACAAATCCAAACAGAGCCAAAATAACGGATGTCTTCATTCTGCCCTCTCCGTTAGAACTTGAGTTCTCAACTGTTGATAGCCCCAAAGCTCACTGCTTTCATGCATCCCATTCTGGGTGATATTAAAATCTGTTTCGTCCCGATCCTCAATTCACTCGATATCTGATCATGGAATGTAAACCTTCGAGAATCTGTAAAAAATAGACTGAAGAATACACTTCTGGGTCTTATAGATATTAATCCATCAATTAATGAATTTATCGGATATGCCATAGAGTTTTAAAGTATTTGCAATCGTAAAGTTTTGGAGAAAGCACATGTCAAGATAAAAGAAAAAAACAGCCATTCTGCGTTTATTTTCTTTTATTCATCTATTTATCAGAGATACCTGTTTTCTGTATAAAGCGAGAATTAGCAGGCCTCGTAAGATTGAGCAAGTTTGTTTTGTTATCATTGTTGTTCCAACAATGATTACAAAACATTACATAATCGAGTTTTCTCGATTATGTAATGCTTTATTGTATTCATAACCCTATATCACCCGATATCTGTTCATGGAATGTAGAACTTTGAAAATCTGTAATTTCTAATTATTTCCATCAGTTTATTCGTGAGGTTTAAGTATAATTTATTTTAAAGATAGCAACATTTACTTCAATTTCATTTCTCTGATAAGTTAGAATGATGTGGAAACCCATTTGTTTTCTTTCATCCATCCAGGCGGTTCATGGAAGATTGAGCAAATATATTTTGACAACAACAGCTGTACCACAACAACATTGAATTCATACTCGGTTGACGGAGCGTTAAACACTTTGAATAGGAAATACGTATTTCTTTCTTGAGTACGCAACTTCTATTTTATTCAAATTCCCATATCACCGGATATCTGATCACGGAATATAGACCCTCGAAAATCTATATAAAAAAAAGATGCATTATTTTCCGTCTTTTAATGACGTTATCAAGTAAATCACCTAGTTTGATAGTAATTATTCGTTTGAATGTTTAATGATTTCAATTAAAGCTTTTCCTTTAGGTCTGCTTTTTTTTATCATTATTAATTTTTAAATAGAAACACTTATACATCAATTTCATTTCAATAAAAACCATTTGAAAAACACATACCATACCCATATCAGTAGTTTTAAAGACCACGATTGATATTAAGTAATATTATATTTTTCTGTCGGAGTCTTTAACATACACGTGCACCCACTCGCTGAAGGAGTAGTTCGCCTCAGGAGCCAGATAGGAATTGTAATTTCCCCCATTATAACGTACACATGAAATTCAAGCAGTTAACCTAACCTCTCCCATTTTTTTTTAAATATTCACCGCAACATTAAATTCACACTCACGATACAGCATGAAATAGGAAATATGTATTGTTTTCTTGAGTGCGCAATGTCTATTTTGTTCAGATTCCCATATCACCCGGTATCTGATCAAGGAATATAGACCCTTGAAAATCTATAAAAAAAACATGCATGATTTTCCGTCTTGTAATCACGTTATCAAGTAAATCACCTCGTTTGATAGTAATTATTCCGTTGAATTCCAAATTATTTCCATTATAGCTTTTTCTTAAGGTTTGAGTTTCTTATCATTATTTTACAGATAGAAACACTTATACATCAATTTCATTTCAATAAAAACGATTTGAAAAATTCATACCATACCCATATCAATAGTTTTTAAGACCACGATTAATATTGAGAAATGTTATATTTTCTGTCGGTATCAATAACATGCACCCACTCGCTGAAGGAGTAGTTCGCTTCAGGAGCCAGATAGGAATTTTCATTTCCCGCACTAAAACGTATACATGAAATTCAAGCAGTTAACCTAACCTCTCCCATTTTTTTTTAAATACATGCTGTACATCCGACTTCAGAAGACTTGCGCTCATCTGTGAGGCGTGCTTGAATAAGTTTCATGATAGTATGTCGATGCATGAACTAATCACACGTCGAAGAGGCAGCGACATTAATTTCAATTCCTGTTTCTATTCCAAAACTGTGGGGATATTTACCAACTGATCAACCCAAAATGAGAAAATATTTGGCGTGATTTTTATTTTTCCAATGACCACAATAGAGTACTGTTGTGGTAAGTGTTCGTTCTCTTGTTGTTGAACGCATGCAATTCACTGTGCGCGCAAAAGTGTTATGAAAATGTCCAACCATGAGGTGTTCATAAGTGAAAGAAACATCTAATTTTACTCGGAAAGAAATGTGTAAATATTGTGTGAAAAATGTAGAAGATTCTTAAAATTCACAATTTAGATACATTTAACACTTTAAAAGGTTTATTTTTGGCCAAGCCCGATATCTCCCTCGCCAATTCCATTCCTGTGCCAAAACTGTAGGGATCAACCCGGTAATGAGGAAATATTTGAATCTTTTTTACTGTTCTCATGTCCGCTGCATCAATGAGGACAAGCTTTTGCATACTTCCTTTTCTAAATCTTACCACTAAAACTTTGGTCCAGTTGATTCAAGCAGGGCACACGAGCCCTTCTATAAGTTACCTTTATGTTTTCACAACCTAAATAGTTGTTGTGGGTGAGTATCCCTTTATATTTTCTTCTAGTTCTTTCTGCATATTCCAAAGGCTACATTGTCGTTACTCATAAAGAGAATAGCATGGCTGCGTGGCGTGTGCGCATAAATTCTTATCTTCGAGTGTTAATAATATAATTCATATCTCTGCCCTTCACGAGCAACCTCATTTTGCTCATTTTCATACTCTCCCGGAACTACACGAAAGAAAAACTCTCGAATAGAAACAAGACACAGCAAGAAAAGCTAAGTCATGACGAGAAAAAAAATTGAAAATAAATTACCTCAACTTCACCAAAAAAATATAAACTTATCAAGGTATTTCTGAACTTGATTTATTTCAATTGACGCAAACTTATAGCAAATCACAACATTTTCTTTAACTACTTCTACATTAATTCCTCCTCATTATACTTTATCAGCAGGGGGGGGAATTTTACTTTCTAGAAGCATTACAATACTCCGAAACATAAAAACTGCCCTATTAGTTGTTCCAAGTTCTCCACTCATGCATGTTTGAGGTTGGTATTCATCAAGACCTGCTAGGGAAGAGAGAAGTCAAACATAAGTACTAATAAATGGTTAAGAATATATGAAAGTCACATATTTGAACTGCGGATAAAGACGTGAATGAAAGTGTTCTTCGCAGTTATGTGCACTACTTAGGCAGTAGTGAAAATAAGGCCTGAAGTATTTTCACTACTGCCTAAGTAGTGCACTTTACTGCGGAGAACACTTTCATTCACATAAGTACTAATGAGGGTCAGTCTTAATCCTTTACACCTTAACATCAGTATGTACATTCTCCATACAGTTCTCTATAAAATTCCTAAGCGGCTAAAAAGAAGAATTTGTTTAACAATCAACAACTTCTTTAGTCGGTGATCGTTTCCTTTATTCTCGTGACCTTAAAGTGTGATTAAGGAAGGATATTTTAAGGAGAATTTAGATGCTAGTCACTCTTAGGGTTGGTCAAAAGTTACCTCATTTTAGTGCAGCAAACAGCTATCGATATGATGAAAGTTCGAGCCCCTCCAAAGCCTTTAAGCTATTTTTTGTGGCTACTGCCTTTTTCAGGATGGCAAGTTATATATGTCGTCGAGATGAGTGAGAGAATGAGCTGCAAGTCCCATTTCTCATTTCTACTTACTTTCACTGAAATGGTCTTCCTTGGCCGCGTTAGCCGCGAAAACGACGAATTATACGACGACCACGACGTATTGCACGACGAATTGTTCGACGAACAGGACGAACACGACGTCTGATCCTACGTCCTATTCTGCGTCCAATACGTCTAAAGCGAATAAAGGGGTCAGCTGACTTTTCCATTGCTGTTACGTCACCTTCGTCACTAACTTCGTCTCTATCATCGTCATTATCGAATGCTCTTTCATCAAACTCCTCGTCTTCGGCCGCCACTTCGCTTTCACTGAGTGACAGAATAAAGATTGCAAAAGATAAACTTGAACGAATTGGTTATTTATTAGAGCTGGCTTAAATAGGGGCCTATATAACTGATCAACATCGAGGTCACAGCACAACACCAGGATCTACGTCCCCTACTCCTGGCGAGAAGTGCGTGGATTCCCCTGGGTTCCCCTGCTAACCATTATAGAGGAAATGCAGGATACGGTTTATCATCCTTTTCCGAGGAGACTAGAACATCTAACCATTTGCAAGTGTTACAGTTAAGGCAACAAATTCTCCACAATTTCTTTAAGACCCTGACTTCATTTTTTGCTGAGACTTGTCACTCAGATCATTTGACCGCGCAAGTTTCCAAAACTATCAAAAATGATTTTATCTTCCTCAACGTACCTTCTAGGGATTGCCATATCATTGTCCTCAAGATCCTCTTCATCGAACTCTCCATCGTTCTCTTTCATGTCGTATTCGCTGAAATATGAATAAAAAATAATGAAACCATTTCCACTGCAGCACTTTAGAATTTCCAATAAGTCTAAAGCATAATCCACTTCGGTAGAAGTGGCATCTTTATTTCAGTCCATTTTGTAACTACAGTTATCATTTCCAGTTATTCTTGTGATGCAACCTACCCTCGAAGTTTTTCTGCTTCATATTCATCTGCTATCTCGGCCAACTCATTTTCAGTTAGTGCGACTGAAAAGCCGACAGCGAATACAAAGCCAAACAGAGCCAAAATAACGGATGTCTTCATTTTGCCCTCTCCGTTGGAACTTGAGTTCTCAACTGTTGGTAGCCCCAAAGTTCACTGCTTTTATGCATCCCATTCTGGGTGATATTAAAAATATGCTTCTTCCCGATCCTCAATTCACTCGATATCTGATCATGGAATGTAAACCCTCGAGAATCTGTAAAAAATAGACTGAAGAATACACTTGTAGGTCTTAAAGATATTAATCCATCGATTAATGAATTTATCGGATATCCAATATAGTTTGAAAGTATTTGCAATCGTGAAGTTTTGGAGAAAGCGCATTTCAAGATAAAACAAAAAACACCCATTCTGCGTTTATTTTCTTTTATTCATCTATTTATCAGAGATACCTGTTTTCTGTATAAAGCGAGAATTAGCAGGCCACGTAATCATTGTTGTTCCAACAATGATTACAAAACATTACATAATCGAGTTTTCTCGATTATGTAATGCTTTATTGTATTCATAACCCCATATCACCCGATATCTGTTCATGGAATGTAGACCTTTGAAAATCTGTAAAAAATAGATTGAAGAATTCCTTATTTACTCCTAAGGTAAAAAAAAAAGTAGGGAATGTCCTAAGTGTTCGTTTTTCCCAGAGTTTGCTTATATTTACACGTGCAAATTTCTTTATTGTTTCTTTTCTTTCTTTATTTTCCATAGCCTCTCCTGAAGGTTTTAGCTTCTTTTATTTTACAGATTGAAAAACTTAGACTTGAATTTCATTTCATTTAAAAAAGATTTGATTGACACATACTTTGCATATATTAGTGACTTTCAAGAATGTAAACCCTAGAAAATCTGTAAAAATAGATGAAAGAATACACATGTTACCACTAAATATAAAAGTCTCGATATATCATCCTGAGAGTTCGTCCTTTTTGTCATGATGCATGTTATTAAACAAACTTGACGTTATTCCATAGGAATTCCCTAAGGTTTAAGTATTTTTCTTATTTTGTAGATTTTACTACAATTTTAAGTTCATTGCAAAAAAAATATTAACACACATGACCAAATAAATGGCTTCAAAGACCACGATTCACATCAAGAAGATGACAAGACGAAAAAACATCTTAATTTTATAATTGTTGATTGGTGGGGAGAAGAATTGCGATTGAGTTCTATTTTCTAGAGTGTTACCTCAGAGATCAGCTTCTAACGTAAACTATATCTGTCAAAATATTTCTAAAGTATTTCTGCGTAGAGACCGGAGCAGTTACATAAGAGCATTTATAGATCAACAGTAGCAATTTCTAATTATTTCCATCGGTTTATTCGTGAGGTTTAAGTATAATTTATTTTAAAGATAGCAACATTTACTTCAATTTCATTTTTCTGATAAGTTAGAATGATGTGGAAACCCATTTGTTTTCTTTCATTCATCCGTTCACCTTTAATACCTGTTTTCTGTTTATAGCGAAAGTAGGCGGTTCATGGAAGATTAAGCAAATATATTTTGACAACACCAGTTGTACCACAACAACATTGAATTCACACTTGGTTGACGGAGCGTAAAACACTTTGAATAGGAAATACGTATTTTTTTCTTGAGAACGCAACGTCTATTTTATTCAAATTCCCATATCACTGGATATCTGATCACGGAATATAGACCCTCGAAAATCTATATAAAAAAAAAGATGCATAATTTTCCGTCTTGTAATGACGTTATCAAGTAAATCACCAAGTTTGATAGTAATTATTCGTTTGAATGTTTAATGATTTCAATTAAAGCGTTTCCTTTAGGTCTGATTTTTATTATCATTATTAATTTACAAATAGAAACACTTATACATCAATTTCATTTCAATAAAAACCATTTGAAAAACACATACCATGCCCATATCAGTAGTTTTAAAGACCACGATTGATATTAAGTAATAATATATTTTTCTGTCGGAGTCATTAACATACACCCACTCGCTGAAGGAATAGTTCGCCTCAGGAGCCAGATAGGAATTGTAATTTCCCCCACTATAACGTACACATGAAATTCAAGCAGTTAACCTAACCTCTCCCATTTGTTTTCTAAATATACGCTGTACATTCGACTTCAGAAGCCTTGCGCTCATCTGTGAGGCGTGCTTGAATAAAGTATCGTTGCGGTAAGTATCGTTGTTGCTTGACGCAAGACACTGTACGAGCGAAAGTTTCACGATAATATGTCGAAACCGTGAACTATTCACAGGTCAAAAGAGCCAGCGAAATTAATTTCAATCACTGCTTCTGTGCCAAAACTATGGGGATACTTACCAACTGATCAACCAAAAATGAGAAAATATTTGACGTGATTTTTATTGTTTTCATGTCCATGTAAAGTACTGTTGTGGTAAGTGTTCGTTTTGTTGTTGTTGTTGCTGTCGTTGTTAAATGCATGCGATTTACTGTGTGTGCAAAAGTTTCATGATCATGATCATGTCCAACCATGAAGTGTTCAAAAGTAAAAGAAGCAGCTAAATTTACTAGTACAGAAATGTGCTTCCTGCATATCCAAATATTGTTTGAAAAATGTAGAAGTTTCTGATAATGTACAATATAGATATATTTACCACTTTAATAGGTTTTTTTGGCCAAAACCGATGTCTCCCTCGCCAATTCCATTCCTTTGCCAAAATTATGGGGATCAACCCGGTAATGAGGAAATATTTGAATCTTTTTTACTGTTCTCATGTCCGCAGCATCAATGGGGACACTCTTTTGCATACTTTCTTTTCTAAATCTTACCACTAAAACTTTGTTCCAGTTGATTCAAGCAGAGCACACGAGCCCTTCCATAAGTTAAATTTATGTTTTAACAACCTAAATAGTTGTTGTGGGTGAGTATCCCCTTTTCTTTTCTTCTAGCTCTTGCTGCATATTCCAAAGGCTACATCGTCGTTACTTATATAGAGAATATAGCATGGCTTCGTGGTGTGTGCACATAGATTCTTATCGTGGAGTGTTAATAATGTAACTCACATATCTGCCCTTCACGAGGACCCTTATTTTATTCTCGCGGAACTCCAGACGAAAGAAAAACTCTCGAATACAAACAGGACACAGCCAGAAAAGCTAAATAATAACGAGAAAAAAAAATTGAAAATAAATTACCTCAACTTCACCAAAAGAAATAAACTTATCAAAGTCACAAGAAAAACAAACACAACGTAGCCAGGTATTTGTGAACTTGATTTCTTTCTATTGACGCAAACTTATAGCAAATCACATTTTCTTTGATTACTTCTACATTAATTCCTCCTGATTATATTTTATCAGCAGGTAGGTTGTCTCCCGATCAACCCGGTAATGAGGAAATATTTGAATTCTTTTTTACTGTTCTCATGTCCACAGCATCAATGAGGACAACGTTTTACATTCTTTCTTTTCTAAGTCTTACCACTAAAACTTTGGTCCAGTTGATTCAAGCAGGGCACACGAACCTTTGCAAAAGTTGCTCTTATGTTTTCATCACTGAAACAGTTGTTGGAGGTGAGTATCCCCGCATATTCTTTTCGTTCTTTCTGCATATTTTAATGGCTACTTTGTCGTTAGTGATATAAAGAATATCAAATGGCTGCTTGGCGTGTGCATATGAAATTTTATCTTCGAGTGTTGATGATATCACTAACATCTGTGCCCTTCACGAGCAAAATTATATTATTCTAGCGGAACTCCAGACGAAAGAAAAAACTCTCGAATTAAAACAGGACAGAACCAGGAAAGCTAAATCATTTTAAAAAGTTAAAAAGAAATTACCTGAACTACAAACAAGAAGAAAATTAAACTGATCAAAGTACAAGAAAAACAAAAACAACATAGCCAAGTATTTCTGAACTTGATTTATTTCTATTGACGCAAACTTATAGCAAATAACAATACTTTCGTTGACTATTTCTGCATTACTTCCTTCCATTATATTTTGTCGGCAGGTGGGGAGTTTTACTTTCAAGGAGTATCACAATATATTGAAGCATAAAAAGCTCTCTTATTAGTTGTCCCCAGCTCTCCATTTATGCATTTTCGAGGTTGGTATTCATCAAGACAAGCTAGGAAAGAGAAAACTAAAACATAAGCACTATCAGCATATATATTTCATCAGGCTTCCCTAAAAATTCGCCGATACTCATTTATACTCCAAAGTAGAGAGAGACACTCTGAATAAAGTGACTTGCCCAAGAACACAACACATTGATCCATATCCAAAAAGTCCCAAACAATTATTAATTTGTAAATAGAATATTTGATCCCAGCAGTATGATGAAGGC